CGGGTTTTAGGCTAAAGGAACAGAGAAGAACCTCAGGTCAGAGTGGCACACACCTTAAATCCCAGCCCTGGGAAGACAGGGGCAGGCAGATCTCAGAGTTCAAGGCCAGCCTGGTTTACTACACACTGAGTTCCAGGACAGCCAGGGCTACACAGGAAAGTCCTGTCTCCAAAAATCAAAAACCAAAACCAAACCAAACAACAAAAACATAAGGATCACACGTGGTAGCTGATGTTATTAAAAACAGGTTACAGATAGGCGCGATGGCAGACATCTGTAAGCTCAGCACTCAAGGAGGCAGAGGCAGGTGGGGGGATGGCTGTGAGTTCAAAGCCAGCCTGGTCTACAAAGCTGGACAGCCAAAGCTACAAAGAGAAACCCTGCCTCTCCCCCCCCCCCAAAAAAAAAGCCACAGCCATTCCAACTTTCAGCAGTAGCATAAAAAAAGATTAGAACTCACCAAGGGTTCAGATGATCATTCAAACTTTTCTACAATAAGGTATTTTTTAATCTTTTTATACATGTATTTATTTTGCTGGGTGATGGCCAGGGCTTCAAGAAAAAGTCTTTCTTGAAAGAGTTTTGTTTTGTTTGTTTGTTTATTTTTTATCTTATGTGATATGGGTATCTGGCATGCACGTCTGTGTTCCACGTAGATGCCTGCTCACCAGAGGTTAGCGGAAGTCTGGAGCTGGAGTTACAGACAGTTGTGAGCTGCCATGTGGGTGCTGGGACCTGAACCTGGGCCCTTGGCAGAAACAGCAAGTGCTCTTAACCAGTGAACTGTCTTTCCAATTTCAATAAAGCATTTGATAATTACAGCATTAGCATGTTTTAAAAAAAAGAGCGCACCAGCTAGGCTAAAATACGGTACAAACACAACTCTCATAGGTATAGAGAAACCAAAAAAGGACCGCTGTAGCCTTAATATAATACATGCTTTCTTGTTACCAAATCTGGGAGATCTGGGGTATCTTCAAGGCCTGACTGTACACTAATGCAGGTCTAAGGCTCATGTAGTAGCTGAAGGCAGAGGCAGTGAGAGCCTACAGCAATGACAGAGAGAAACCAGAACATTAAATACAAATCTACACTAACCAGAAGGCTACTGGGAACAACCAAGTGACACAGAATAACATTTTATTTTGTAAAAATGTATGTGTGTGTATGTGTATATATGTTATGTGTGAAAATACTAAACAAAGTTGAAAGAATATATACCAAATTGTATACATAACACTTGAAAGAATACAGGAAAGCAAGAAGATTACATTTTTAAGTGTTTTCTATTGCTTAATTTTTTTGCTTTTTATAGTATAGGTATATTATTTTTATAATATAAGTAACATGTAAAACTAAAGAGCTGAAAGAAGAAAATCAACATCCTAGAGTGGCTATTTAGCCCCTGCAGTTTTTTGTAGCTTTCATTAATTCCTTAGCACTCATTAGAACGGAGCAATAGTTACAGCCATCTTCGGCAATTTTACCTTGGGTGTGTGTGTGTGTGTGTGTGTGTGTGTGTGTGTGTGTACGCACGTGAGTGTGCGTGTGCATGTGCCACCCGTAGGTAGGTGCCCACAAAGGCTGAGTGGATGTGACGTACTTGATATGGGTACAGGCACTGAACAGAGGTGTCCTTCAGGAGCTGTACAAGCTCATGAACATCTCCAGACCCTGCCTGCTTCTGCTGGGATTAAAGGCATGCACCACTCCACCAAGCCCCTTTAAAAAATTATAAAATCTAAAAATATAAGACCAGAGGGTATAATACTTGCCACACAAGCCTAACTACCTGGGTCTGAGCCATGAAACCCACAAAACCAACTCTCCAAAGCTGTCCCTGATCTCCACATAAGTATCATAATTCACACACAAATTAATATTGGCACAAAATAGTTAATGTATACTTATAATTTATTCAACACAGGTTATAAGAAAAAAATCTAGGGCCACCAAAATGTTCTGCAAGGCATTTGCCAACAAGCCGGACGACCTGAGTTCAATCTAGGTCCCACAGAGCAAAAGGAGACAACTGAGTCCTGCAAGCTGTCCTCTGACTTCCACACACAAACCATAGCATACACACGCCCCACCACCAGATAGACAGACAGATAAATAGATACAGATATAATTTTGAAAAAAAAAAAATCATTTTTACCTTTATGCCCTAAGTGATTTCTTTATAGTAGCCAGTGTTTAACACTAATATATAGCTTTACATATCATTTAAAACATTCAAAAGCCAGGAGTGTTAGCATATACCTGAAATCTTAGAACTTGTGAAGTAGAGACAAGAAGTATCTCTGGCTACATAGCAAGTTAAAGTCCAGTATGGACTAAAGAGAACTCAGTCTCAAAAACTGTAACACAAGAAAATTTAAACACATGTGTAGAGGAATTTTGATTCAGAACATGGCTGCTCTAGCAAGAGATCACATCCAAAGACCTTCTAGGTCTGTGTCATCAAGCTGGAATGCAAGCACCTTTAATCCAGGTGACAGAGGCAAGCAGATCTGAGTTCAAGGCCAGTCTGGTATAGAGCAAGTTTCAGGTAAAGAGAAACATAGGTCCAGGCCTGGTGGTATATGCCTTTAATCCCAAACAATGAACGTAAAGTTAGTTTGTGGAAGGAAGCACCCATGTTTGAAAGTGCTATCTAACTGAGTAGCAGGAAAGGTAAAGAATCAAAGAAGATTTGACAGGATAATGTATGTCCAACTCTCACGAGAAGAGGGTTGAAAAAGAAGCCACTTAAGAGGCATAAGAGAGAGAGAGAAGAGGCAGTTTTACCAGCACAGTAGTAGAGAGGCAGATTACAGAGAAAGAACACAGATAAAGACAGAATGAGCCAGAGAATGAGAAGGAACCAGGAGATTAAAAGACACTGCTAGAATTAGTTTGAAGCCAAACAGCAATTCAGGGGCTAAGAGAGAAAAGCCAGAATGAATAAGTCAGCTTGGAGAGGAGTTTGAGCCATAATTGCTGAGTTGAACCAGCTAGCCCAGAGCTCAGAAAGAACTAGAAAGGGTAAACTTATTCAGCAGTAAGTCTCAGAGGCTGAAAACATGCTAGGCTTAGGTTATATTGTTCAAAGGCTCCTAGGACTAGGCCTAGGTTAGCAGACAGAGGCAGTAAGTCTCCAGGACAACAATTATCCCAGAAATATAAGTTTTTATACATGTATCACTGGCTTTGGGTCTGTTTTCATAAAACAATTAACCAGATAAAAAGATGACACTGTTGGTAAAGTGCCTGCTGGACAAGCATGAGGTCCTGAGTTCAGATCCCCAGCACTCATGCTGAAAGCCAGGTGTGATGATGTCCACCTGCAATACTGGGTCTGAGAAGGAATAGACATGTGGATTTCTGGAGATGCTGGCCAGCCAGTCTAGCCAAATCAGTGAGCCCCAGGTTCAATGAGAGACTCTCTCGAAAACTAGTTACAGAGGAAGACACCCATGTTGACCTCGGGCCCCAGCCCCACCCCATCTTTGCATTCTACTCTTTATTCATCCAGATGGGTTTTAGATTTGTTTACCTGGCTGCAAGAACAATAGTTTCATTTGGGTTTTTCAAACATTTCTAGTTTTTTTTCTGAGTGAAATCAGCAGGAAGAATATTTACTCTAAAGCAGCTGGGAGGCATAAAGGCTGTAACCGCAAACTGGACACTACAGGCTGACAAACAGGGTTTTTCTTTATGGTTTTTGTTTTATTTTATTTTTACATTGCATCTTTACAATACACAAATATATCAAGTTAGTTTAAATTATCAGTTAAGCGGGGCAGTGGTAGTGCTCATCCTTAATGCCAGAACTCAGGAGGCAGAAGCAGGGGGACCTCTGAGTTCAAGGTCAGTCTGGTCTACAGAACAAGTACAGCCAGGGCTACACAGAGAAACCCTGTTTCAACGCCCACCCCCCCACCCCCCAAAAAAAATTATCAAACTAAAATAAGTCTAAGAAACTCTTAGGTTTTTAGGTACTACATGCTCCAAGGCCATGTCAAATCAGCCCCTGAGGAATCCCCACAGACTTGAGGGAGTGTCTCCCCAGTTCAGCAGAGTATTCAGCAGTAGTATTCTAAACCACTGCCTCAATAGTACTGACAGAAGCTGGATCACGTGACCTATGCGACCCTGATCACAGGAATCTTGGTGCCTAAGAAACGGTCCATTTTTGTGTCTGATCTAATCCCTGTGATATACAGCCCCTTCACCAAAGCCCGGAAGAAAATCCCCTGAAAGGTCTCAACTGTAAAAATAAGTTTAAGCTTCCCCATACTTTCCTAGTCTATCATATTTGCCCAAGTTCTAAAGTTGTTGATTTTCCTCGTGGGAGAGCACACTCTCCCTCAGATGTTTATTAATTATGGCTCCCTATTCTGTCAGTGTGTGAAACTCAAATCTAGGATAAAGGAATTGCATGTAAAAGAAACACAGTCAGACCCTCTAGCAGCTGTGACTGTTGCCCATTATTCTGCCCATCTGCCATAATCTACCACTTAAACAATGCACTACTCTTCTGTTTATGGGTTTTCAGTATATGTGCTGCCGAAGCGAGCACTGTTTATGGGTTTTCAAATTGATTTTTTGTTGGTGTCCTTTTTTAAAAAAATATATCCATTAAAAGGCAGTAGAGAAAAAACATTCAGATCAACACTTTATCTTTAAATTTGCCCACAGTTTTAAAAAAAGAGTGAGACTGTTTTGTTTTGTTTCTCTTTATAGCCCTGGCTGTCCTGGAACTCACTCCATAGACCAGGATCTCACAGAGATCTGCCTGCCTCTGCCTCCCAAGTGCTAGGTTAAAGGCATGCGCCACCACAACCTGGAGACAGTTTTGTTTCTTATCTTCAAATACTGCCATAAATATGGTTGTTCCATGGTTTTAACACAGAATAAATTAGGTAAAGTGGAAATATGACATATGTTTTCATTTAGTAACACAATGGGACTATCACTTTTGTTCCCTAAAAGCTAACTGCTGTTGTTGGACATACCTCCAGCTCTTTAATTTTTTCTTCTGCTATTTTCTGTTTTTCTAACAGTTGGTTGTGAATTACTTCCTTGGACTGTAGAATAAACCTAGAAAACAAAGAGTTGAAAGTTAAGACACATGACCACTATATTCAAAACCAATAGTTACACACCACAGTTAACAAGGCAATCTAACAGACAACCAAAAAAATTTTGTTTCAGGACCAAAAAAAATTTGTTACATTGAATAAACTTTGGAAACCATAACTGTTTTTAAGTTTTCTTGGCCAAGGAAAAATAAAGGGTTAAAAGTAAATTCTGTTGCCTTATTTAAATGACAATCTGATGTTGAAAACACCAAAAACATTAAAAATGCATTAAAAAGTCAACATATAAGCAACAAGAATTTCTGGTAGTTTTGAGCTGTCTGACTTTTTGGACTTTTAAAGCAGGGTCTCTAAACTGGCGCGTCCTTCCATCTCTCTGGCTTTTTGTAGCAGCAGTAACTCACGACCTTTAAAGTCACAATCGAGCACTGTGTTAAGATCAATGCCTCAGTGTCTATATGGGCTCCACACACAAAGGCACTGTATAAGCCATAGTGTCTTTTATTATTATTCCCAGTGTATAATACCTCTGAAGAGCTCAAAACGCACAAACAGAAAATTAGAAAATTTCAACTTTTTCCATTTCACAGGCACATTATTTACCACTGTTGAGGGCCCAAATACGGGGTGGCTTTATGTATTAACACTGAATCTGTTTTGTGGCATTAAGTTCGTAATTTTTCCTGAAGGAAAAGGAAGAACAAACTGCTTCAGAGCCTCAAATAAGGGAGCTGAATGAAGTATTTTTCTTCTCCGAGAACCACGGAAAAACCCCAATTACTCAAACGACTTTCAGGACTGTTTAACCAGGCTAACGTAGACTTCAAGTAACGATTACAACTACTTTTTGAAGATTACTTTTTATATGCATTAGTGTTTTGCCGGCATGGGTATCTTTGTGACGGTGTTGGACGGGTGCTCGGAATTGAACTTGGGTTGTCTCGAAGAGCAGCCAGTGCTCTTAACCTCTGAGCCATCTCTCCAACCCAGCAATTACAATTATGTGAGTTGGGTGGTTTCACCTCTGCACTAACCAGTTCAGCAGCAAAGAACTAAACATTATCTTTTAGTGAAGAAAGCCTAACAAATCACGGTTACAGCATGTGATTCTCCTCTGCCAACGTCAATGCAACAACACTGTGCCTCGGTGGGATCCCACCAAGAGACTCTGTTATCGTGGACACTGAACAAGTGATAGGAGACGACAGAGCAGCTGGAGACCCGACACCTGAGAAAAAGCATCTTCTACTCCTTTATGAACGCACCTTACCATACATATTGGTACAGCCCCGTGGACTCTATTTCATGGCACTAATTTTTAAGCTTCACACATGAAGTCAATCACCCAGCTATCTAAGATTTATTTTACTTTTATGTGTATGAGCGTTTTGCCTTGTGTGTATCTGTGTGCACTACATGTGTGCCTGGCATCCATGGAGGTTAGAAGAGGACATGGAATGTCCTGGCACTGGTGTTACAGATGGTAGTGAACCAGCATGTGGTGTTGGGAAACGAACCAGGGTCCTCTGCAAGAGCAACAAGCGCTCTTAATGGCTGAGCTCCCTCTCCAGCCCTTAGTCCAGCTGTCTTAACTGCTGTTTCTTCACTATGTCCTGGAAAGGTGGTTCACACACATAAAAAAATAATGATTAATTAAGTGTAGGTCTTTCCCTATAGAACCCATCATACTAAACATTCTTACTGGATCCAAGAGACAAGTGTTACTTCAGGTAAGACTGCGTCACGCTCAGGGTTTTTCTCTTTCAAAATCAGGAATGTTACTCAGGAAGAGCTGTTTTCAACTACACTGGGTCTTAGTGACATGATGTGAAAAGCATCACATAAGTCAAGGTCCAGGAGCTGCCAAGTATGTCATTCATGCACAATTTTGCTAGCAGAGTCATTTATGAATGAAAGCGGTTCTCAAAGTCAGATGCACGTTCTCAAACAGCACTGACAGCTACCACTGAGTAGCACTCTCAAATGATAGGCCATCAGACATCAGCTTTCTTAGTGTCTGGGAGATTTTCAAAGCTAAGATTAGAGGTCAAGTCATTATTTTATGTGGCCTTTAAAAAGAAAGTTGTCTGAACGGATACTAAATCCCTTGGGCAGAAAATAAAGTCACTAGAAAGCAAGAGCAGTAAACAACAGAGCCATGTTGCCCATGGCCACACATCCCTAAGGTCGCTATGTCAGCCAGGCCAACTTCACAGGCCAGAGCCAGCCAGCCTACTACTATGAACCGAAACATCTCGGCCATGCAGGTTTTAGACAAGAGGAGCATTTTATACGGCCAAATGTGTACCTAAAAGGGCTGTTAGGTAAAAAATTCAGACACAAGGCATATGGAGAGTTGTTTGAGCCCTCAATACAAAGGTGGCACAGATACTCTATACAACTATGGGAAGACTCCAAAAGGCTAAGATTTCTGGGAAGTCCTCAGGGAATAATGTGATCTAAGAGGCAGTGAATTATTTGGAGACAATATACCATGTGTCATAGTCTCACAAGTATTAAATATACAGTTTCTAAAAGAGAACCTCACAGAAATCCTGCCTAATTGTTTCTACAAACAAATAGATTAAAAAAAAAAAATCTGGAGTTTGAAAATGTACCTCCCTGACACCAAAAAAAGAACCAGAGAAAAGGGAAAGAATTCTCCTGTGACAAATGATGAGCAGAAGCGTGCAGGTGACAGCTGGGATCACATAACCTGTATTAGAGTCACTGCTTTGAAAGACCTCCATTTTCACCTGGAAGTCAATGCCCTGTGGCCCTGCAAAGCCCCTCTCAAACATGTGACCTGCTGTGTCAATTCCTCGCTTATCTGCAATTATGTCACCCGGGCAACATACTTCTCTGGGTTTTGCCCCTCTATGAGAACACCATAGGCTGTGATTTAGATCATACTACAGGGCTGGCAGGCGAGTTCCACTTTCTTACAACTCAGCATAGATCAAAATTATTATGCACCTCCCAGAAATACAATTCAGGGCTAGTGGCAATGCTGTTTACCACTCACAGAGTATGGGCATTTAGTCACATGCCATTCAGAAATAACAGGCTCACAACACTGACTTTGTTTGCATAGGTGTCTTACAATATTCTAATGGCATTTCATTTTCAGGACAGCCATAAATTGAGTAGCACAAAAAAGGAGGAGTAAGAATGAACCTAACTGGAACTAGACAAGGTGCTGCACACCTGTAATCCTGACAAGAGGATGTAGAAGCAGGAGGATTAGGAGCTGAAGGTCATCCCCAACTACAGAGCAAGTTGAAGGCTAGCCTCAGCTACATGATACTCCATCTCAAAAAGCCAAAGTAGTTAAGTTAAAAAGCAAAAAGTGGCTTTCACCCTGAAAGTCCCTGAGGAATTTTGGAGGCCTTGAGCACTTGCACTGTTATGAAAACAGGAAACAGACAGCAGGTAAAAACAGGCCAGTGTGAGGCTGTACCAAGAAGACTCTTCTATTTGAAGCAAATTCCCAAAGGGTGCCACCTTTTGCCTAAGAGTCCTGGCAAAATAAATTTGCCTCTCTGTAAGACACAGAAAACTACTTTAGGAGCAAGTAGAATAACCAAATAAAAATTATCTTGTAAGAATACATAATCAAGCCAGGTACAGCAATACATGCCTTTAAACTCAGTGCTTGGGAGGCAGAGGCAGGCAGATCTCTGTTGAGTTCAAAGCGAGCCTGGTCTAGGTACTAAATTCCAGAAAAGCCAGAGCTACATAGTGAGACCCTCTCTCAAAGCAAGCAAACAGAGCAAATAAAGAATTTATGTGCACATATATGCATGCAGACAAAACACTCATACATATAAAATAATCTTTATATATAACCACACAGACACACAGACACGCACACACACAGGAGCTGGAGAGACGGCCCAGCCATGAAGACAGCATATCATATCTTAAAAAGGACCGGAGTCTGATTCTCAGCATCTATGTTAGGCAGCTCCCGGCCACCTGTAACTCCAGCTCTAAGAGGATCCAACACTTCTAACCTCTGGCATATGTGAGCGTGTGCACACACGCTCACACAGATTAAAGCAATAAAAATTAATCCAAGCCAGGCAGTAGTGGTACATGCCTTTAATTCCTGTACTTTTGAGGCACAAGCAGGCAGACCTCTGAGGTCAAGGCCAGCCTGGTCTACATAGCGAGTTCCTGGGACAGCCAAGGCTACACAGAGAGATCCTGTCTTGAAAAACAAAACAAAATCTTAAACAAAACAGTGTGAGGCGAGTGTGGCTCTGTGTGACCAAGCATTCATGACAGTCAAGTACGCCAATTCCTCAGTCTCATAGGAAAGGCAAAGCTTCCCGGGTCCAGGTACAAACGCTGAGAAATGGCCAATCTGTAGCTAAAAACAGTATCTGCAAAAAGTGACAAGCTCCATTCCTCCTCCTGAATGACTGCATGACCAGCCCCCAGACACCCCCCTACAGAGATCCCTACCAAGATAAGCTAGCCCTCCCCTTCCTTAATGCTGTCCATAACAAAGACAGACTGCTGACGTACCTCCCTCTCAGTGCGCCTCCCTCTCACACCCGGCTTTACATTACTCTAAAGTCTGTCTTTTTCTTTCTTTCTTTTTTTTTTTTTTTTTGTTTCTGTTTTGTTTTTCTAGACAGGGTTTCTTTGTGTAGCCCTGGCTGTCCTGGACTCACTTTGTAGACCAGCCTGGCCTCGAACTTACAGAGATCTTCCTGCCTCTGCCTCCCACAGTGCTGGTATTACAGGCATGCACCATCATGTTCTGCCAGGTCTGTCTTTCTTAATATCCCTTTTGCTCCCACTCAGGTTTCCAGCACCAGCCACATGAGCCATGGCAATCACCACAAGCTGGCTTTCTCTTAAGTTACAGGCCAAAGTAGACAACAATAGTACCCGAATATGTCAAGCTCAAAACTTAACTTAGAGTTGCTCCTAGTTAGACAAGTGGCATAGTTCAAGTTAACTATAAGAAAGGCATTATAGACTCAAGGG